ATTTTTTCTCCTCTCTTTCACTTTCGCTTTCATTGGACTATCATCACCTCCAAATCTATCATCATCGTGACAACCACCATCATCATCAATCTGTTCGCCCCCTCCCTCCCTCCCTCCCTCCCTCCCAAAAGACTTCGCTCCTGGCTCCTCTCACTTCCCCTCCAGGCTCGTGAGCAGCTGCGGTCGAAGGCTACAGACCCGTTGATAGACAGTCCCAGGACGAAGACTCAAACCAACAGTAATCCTCTCCCCTCCCCTCCCCTCCTCTCCTCTCCTCCCTCCTCCCCTTCCCTCCCCTCTTCCTCCTCCTTTTCCTCATCCTCCTCCTCTGCTTATCCTGCTACTAGAAGCACAGGATACACCGCACGAGCTCGAGCAGAGCAAGATTTCATCGCGAGCTCCCGTGGAGGCTGACAAGGACATGAAACTGAGTGCTCCTCCTCCTCCTCACCTTGTCAACGAGCCCAAGCAAGATCCTTCGCTCCTGGCCCCAGAGTCCAGCAAGAGTGAAGCGGTAGAGTTGCACTGCCTTGCACAACAACGTCCTGACGCCTCCTCCCCCCTCTTTGAATTCCTCCGTCTCTTCGTCGACAGATCATCGTAGAAGAGGAGCTTGCGATGCTCAAAGCAAACATAACGAGATACTCTCAGGTTTGCTTCTTCTTCTGTTGTTCCTCCTCCTCCTCCTCCTCCTCCCTCAGATTTTGTCTTCTCCTCCACACTCACACCTCAACAGGAATTTCCTCCCGGCACACTGGCAGCGAAACTAGCAGAAGCAGAAGCTTTGCACAAAGAGCCAGAGCCGAAGACGGTAGAGGGAACAGAGGAGGGATGAGCAGCAGGGGGAGAGGGAGAGGTTATCCCGTGAGGGACCAGTGTGTAACACCAGATGGAGAGGAGAAACAGAAGGGCATAGCAGGGCGGAGGGAAGGAGGAGGGGAGGGAGTGGAGGAGGAGCAGATGTAGGACAAGCATGAAGGTGATGGAGAGGAACAGAAATTGGACCAGGAACAGGAGGAGGTTTTCACTTGCAGTCGCAGATGCCTCTACCAGCAGACGTTTTTAACTCCATCCCTTCCAATGGACGTCAAGATCCTCCCATGGCCCCAAGAGCATACGAAGCACCTCCATCTAAACCCGCCATATCCGAGGTCCCTCCTAGGAAGCCCGTCATGGTGAAGGAGGAGGAGGAGGAGGAGGAGGACTTTAGGTGGGGGATCTAGGAAAAGATGGAGAGAAGACGAGGAGGAAGGAGGAAGGAGCAGGAAACAAGGGAGGAGGGAGGAGGAGTGTTGACTGTTCAGCAGATTTCTCCTCCCATTTCTCGCGTGCTCGAGGAGCGGGTGTTGGCCGCTCCAGTGTCCGGGGTGAGTTCGTTGCTTCACTTTGTTTCCCTTGTTCTTCTTCTCTCTTCCCTCTCTTCCTCCCACTCCTCCTCCCTCCCTGTGTTCTGCTTCGTCCCTTCTCCCTTACTCTCCTCCTCCTTCCTGCTGTTCCGCTCCGTCTCTCCCTTCTCCCTTCCGCTCCATTGCTCCCTTCCTTTCCTTCCCTCCGCTTGTTTCCTCACGATTCCAACAGCCCGCTCACAAGGAGGCCGTCCCAACTCAGCCGATGATGTTCCCAAAGGAAGAGCAGGTGCTACCCGTGACCCTCCTCCTCCTCCCTCAACGTTCCCAGGTCAAGGAAGTCAACTATAGCATTGGCAGAGCATCGGCTCCGTCAAGAGAAGGTGGGAAGCAGGAGCAGGAGCAGGAGCAGGAGCAGGAGCAGGAGCAGGAGCAGGGAGGAGGATGTACTGAGTGGTGGGGCGGGAGTGAGGCGGGGGAAGGAAGAGAAGCAGGAGAAGGAAGGGAGAGGGGAGAAGCAAGAGGAGGAGGCTGACTTTGTACAGGCGACTTTGGGATGCGCTGGGACTTTTTCGAGGCATGGAACCAGCAGAATCTGATGCCGACCTCCAGGAGGGAAAAAACTCCCGTCGAAGACGTCCTCGAGCCAAGTACTGATCCCCCGTCTACATCCTGTCTTCTGACTCGACCCTCCTTCTACATCCTGTCTTCTCTCTCGACCCTCCTTCTACATCCTGTCTTGTGACTCGACCCTCCTTCTACATCCTGTCTTCTCTCTCGACCCTCCTTCTACATCCTGTCTTCTCTCTCGACCCTCCTTCTACATCCTGTCTTCTCTCTCGACCCTCCTTCTACATCCTGTCTTGTGACTCGACCCTCCTTCTACATCCTGTCTTCTCTCTCGACCCTTCAGCTCCCCTCGTGATCTCTTCCTCCTTTCTCTTCTGGTTTCTTTGTCTCTCCCTGCCCTTGCTGGATCCATCGAATTGATTTCTTCCCTTTCCTCCTTCTCCATCCCCCGACTCAAACCCTCCTCGACGTCTCTCACCCTCCCTCTCCTCTCTCCTCTCTCCTCTCTCCTCTCTCCCTCTCCTCTTCCTCTCCGCTCCTCAGGTACGCGCTCTTCTGACCTAGCGAGAACTCGGCGCCCGGTCGCCATGATTGAGGGACAGCATACCCGCTCCTCCACGTGCTCTTGATGAGGCTTGCGACCATGACCGGACCGCATGCAGGAGCCATAGAGCCAAGGACCAGCTCCTTCAGCTTTGCGACTCCCTGCAGTGTGCTGGAGAGAACTTGAGGAGTGAGCTAGGGGCAACCGCTCAAGTCCAGCACAGCAAGCTGCCCTGCTCCTCCTACTCCATGGCCGAGAACAGGGAGGAGGCGGGAGTGGAAGTCTGAGCATTCATTTGGACGAGGATGAGAGATTACTGCTTATC